GCGGGGGTTAGAATCCGGGAGGCCTCCTGCAGCGGCAGTGCAGTTAAGGTTCTGCTTTTTGTTTGTTTTTTTACTTTTTTAATCTTTTGCAGGGTGGGATTGGGCTGGTGGGGTTATGTTTGTGTTTGTTTTGTTTTTTTGCAACCCCAGGGGCTTGCAGTGTTTTAGTTTTTGGGGGGTATTTTTTCCTTTGGGTCTGTGCTTAAATGTGCTGGGTTGCAAAGACTGGGCTAAGGTGTGAGTTGCAGACTCCTGCCTGTCTGTGTTTTTGGTGAAGAATTCTGTGGGTCCGGCATTCTGGCTTGCAAAGATTGGGCTAAGTGCTTTTAACACTGTTCCCTGCCTCCCCCCCTCCTTTCCTGAACTCTCCTTGACCTAAGGAAAAAAAATAAAATATATATCCCCATCTAGTGGTAGAAGGCGGAACAGCAGCTTCCCATTAGTTTCTATGGACGGAAAAGAGCAGATACGGATTAAATGGTCTCTAGTGGCAGAAGGCGGAATAGCAGCTTCCCATTAGTTTCTATGGATGGAAAAGAGCAGATACAGATTAAATGGTTTTCAATGCATTCCTATGGGAAATGCAGATTCGACCTTTGAACTTTTTGACCTGCGGACCGCCTTCCAATACGGATTAATTACTTGAGACCCTACTGTAGACCATTTGTAGACCATTTCCCTGTTTTTAAAGTACTCCCCCCCAGCTAAACAAGAAATTATGACATTGCATTTTTATGGGGGCACCCTCAGAGGGTTGTATTTAAGCCACTATTTAAATCACTTCTAATACAGGGCATATTTCTGTGATTTCCCCCCTGATGTTAAAAATGCAGTTTTGTTTCCCATTGTTAAAAATGTATTTAAAAGTACAGAGGTGCCTTCCCCCTGATGTTAAAAATGCAGTTTTGTTTTGTTTCCCATTGTTAAAAATGTATTCAAAAGTACAGAGGTGCCTCGCTTAGCGAGGTTAATCCGTGCAGGAAAAAATGTTGCTAAGCGATTTCATCGCTAAACGGAATTAAAAAGCCGATAGAAACGCATTAAAATGCCATTAATGCGTTCCTATGGGCTTCAAAACTAACCTTAAAGCGAAGATCCTCCATAGGGGCAGCCATTTTCGGTGCCTTTAAAGTGAGGACACACAGCGGGTGGCCATTTTGTTTACCCGGCGGCCATTTTGAAACCGCCGATCAGCTGGCTGAAAATGGGGGCTTTGCGATGATCGCTTCCCTGCGATCATTACAAAGCCATTTTTCCCATAGGGACCATCGCTTAAACTCCGTCGCTAAGCGATTTTGTCGCTCAATTGAGCGATCGCTAAGCGAGGCACCACTGTAACTTAGTGATCTATTTTGAAAAACTTTCAGTTTTTAGTTTTTTAGGCAAAGCAGAAAGTGAATGGATCTTTCTTGCCAAAGCTCATATAAATAGTTATGTGTGAAGGTACTGGAAAGGGAACAAACTCTGGTGCAAAAAGTTAATCATAAATATTTGGAGAATTTTCTCATCTGTTAAAACATCTACTATTACCAGATAGGTACTGAAATTATCCTGCTCAATTAAAATCTGTATTGTGGATGCTTGTTTCTTCAATGGAAAACCCATATTTAACCATTTTTTAAAATATTCTAGAATTTTAATTAAACTTTTCCCCCCAGATATTTTAGAATTAAGTTTATTCTCGGTTATACTATTCTAAAAGATAATTAGGATCACTCGGGGAAAATTGTTGAAAGGGCTAGACATTTTCATAGGGCTTCCATGAATTCCCACCATTTTAGTAGAAGAGCGGGGGTAGGAAAGCTCCAGGCCTGGAATAAATTAATTAAGAGATGGAAAATAGGACTGTTCAGATCTGTTATTTTTCATCCCTACTATTGCTTTTAACAAGCATGTGTATCTGGAAACACAGACTGTATGAGAAATCCCAAATTTAGTGATTGTGTCTTTCTGTTTCCACTTGGATTCCATCTTGCCTGTATTGAAGTCCTCTAAATAGTAGGACTGAATACTTGGGGAGATAAAAAGAACCTAAATAACCTATGCAAAAGCTTATGGAGGCCATGAAATTGAGATCCCAGTGCAAGGACATTTTTAAAACATAAGAACACAGTGTCTCAGGCCATAAAATTTAAATGTATAAAGCCTTTATAATAAGGCCTTTTAATCATAATACTGTGGTGCCCCGCTTGACGTTTACCTCATTATATGATGAAATCGCTTCGCGACCATGTTTTTGCGATTGCTATTGCAATTTTTCAAAGGGCTTTTTTCGCTTGACAATGATCGGTTCCCTCCATCTCTACTGGATACATAAACAACTGTGGTTAGTTCCAGAATGAAAGAACTTCTCATTCTCCTCACCACTTTGAGTTGCAGGGGAGGTGGAGGGTCATCATAATCATCTGAATAATTAATTGCATAGTTATGTGATCATTGGATGTGTAATGTAGGTGGTGCAACATTGCTATAAACATGTAAGTATGATTGTACTCAACATCTGGTTGTTCTTGTTTTCAGTGAAAGGAGGCAGTGGTCAACCGCTAAATCAGAATGAAGTGGCCATTCTCCTAAATCTGCTGCAGTCTAAAACCAGTATTAATATGGCACAGTTTGCTCAGGTGCTCAACATTAAAGTGAATCCTGAGACTGAGCAGCAGTTGAATAAAATAAGCCTTCCAGCCGGCATTTTGGAAGCTGGGGAAAAACAGCCTGAGCAGCAGCAGCCACCACTGCCACAGCCACAGCCACAGCCACAGGCGCCGCCACCACCACCACAGCAGCACCAATCACAACAGCAGCACCAATCACAACAGCAGCACCAATCACAACAGCAGCTGCAACAGCCACCACCACTACCTAAGGCACCACCACCACCACCCTCACCAGACCAGGAGTCATTAAAGCAAGCAGCTGCTCCTCAGCCATCTGTGCAAACTGCTCAGTTGACACAAACAAAAGTTGATGCTGAGGTTACTCAGGCAGCTGTGCAGAGTGCATTCACTGTTTTGTTGTCTCAGTTATTAAAGGCTCAGCAACTGAAGCAGAAAGAAAATGTATTAGAAGAAAAGGAGAATGGGTCAGGAAATGAAATGCCATTGCATCCCAGGCAACCACCAGAACCAAGTACGCCTGCATCTGGCAATTGGGAGGACGCAGAATCTCCAGCATCCATTTACCCCAACCTTATCAAATCTTTATATGCATGTGCAGGTATGAGTCTCTGGTTCTCTTGAATTGGTATTTCAATAGCTTTGAGAACGATTTCTGTGTCTAGTTTCTGCCCCTACTTTCAAAGCTAGTTGGAGATAATTACATACAGTGGTAGCATATTCTGATTGTCTTTAAATTTACAGGGGTTTTTTGTTTGTTTATATTACTGTTAATGTAGTGGAAAACTGGGACATTATAGTCTTGTGTTACAAACTGATACTGGAATCCAGAAAAATACATTTAGCCTAGACCAAAGTTCCTTCTAAGATGTGTGGCTATGGAGCGCATATGACTCAGTCCTCTCCACGTAGCATTGCTCCACCTCCCTGCACCCACAGCAATTATTTCTAGCCCCTTAGGTTCTGATCACGATGGAGCCTATACGGTGTGTGTGTGTGTGTGTGATGCACATGGGGGAGCCCAGTGGCACTGAAAAGTAGAGAGAATGTTGGCAATTCAGTGCTGAAATTTATCTCAATGGACTTAGCAGGTGTAATTCTTCAGTTAGATTTTGGCTGTTAAAAGGTATCACAAGTAGTTTTTGACAGTCCCCTCATTTTCAAAAACGGCTTGGCATACATTATGAGGTGGCTTCTGTCGAAGAAAAACGGGCCCTGCAAATTCCTTTGTGATCTAAGAAATAGATTTTGGATCCTCACTTGAGTGCGGTCTTTTTGGTTCTTTCAAGTAGAATATGTAGTGAAGTGTTAACAGTAAGAGTACAATTACTACCTAGAATCCTACTGTTATGCCCAAAGCATAATTCCATCACTGTAAATCTTACTGAATTACTACTGGTGCATAAGTTGGTGTAGGCATTTGATATTGTACACAAATAGCATGACTTTGTGTGCAATGCCAAATGCTTACAACTGGCTTCTTAACTAGTGGCAATTCACTGCTGAAATGTATCTCAGTGATAATGTAATTCCTCAGTTTTTGGCTGTCCTTATATTTGCCTGTTAGATGTGCTAAGTACCTATCCATATTCCATCTTAGGAATTTGTAAATTTTACATACTAATTGTTTTGTAGATAACATGGTACAGTGGTGCCTCGCTTGACGATGTTACTCGGTTTCAGCAAAATTGCTGTAGAATGAAATTGTTGTCAAGCGAAAGTAAAAAGCCCATTGAAACGCATTGAAAACCACTCAATGCGTTCCAATGGGTGAAATACCTCAGCGTTCAGCGAAGATCCTCCATAGGGCGGCCATTTTCTGGTGCCTGTAATGCAAGGAATCCATCCTAAGCACAGCGGGGAGCCATTATGAACAGTGAGTGGCCATTCTGAAACCCGATGATCAGCTGTTTTCTGATTGCCATAAAGCGAAAAAACTGTTCCCGAAGCAGGGAACGGATCGTCAGGAAGCGGATTTTCCCCATTCATTCATTGTTTTGCGATCGCAATAGCGATCGCCAAAAACATCATGAAGCGGATTTGTTGTGAAGCGGGGCACCGCTGTTTCCCCATTCATTCATTGTTTTGCGATCGCCAAAAACATTGTGAAGCGGATTTGTTGTTGAAGCGGGGCACCACTGAATAGCGGAATGTCTTTTGTGGTCAAACTCTAGACTGAATGCAAAGATCCAATAGAAAGCTGTAAATGCAGTTTCCTAGCTGCCTGTACTCTGCCAGGTCCTTTGTGCTCCCTTCAAGATGTTTCAGAAGATACACTGGACAAAATCCTCTTTTATAGGGCAGAACCTGAAATGGGTGGGATGGGGTAGAAATATTTAAATTAATTTTTACTGGCACTGGATGATTTTTGTTTGGATTCTGAGGTATAAATTTATTCTAGTAGGATTTTGGCCATTGTAACAGCATGAAATGGGGCACTGGTGACTGCAGATGGATAGGAAGATTGGATAAACATGGAAGGACTACCTCCTGCAAACAGTGATTTGCCACCTCATCAACTGATACTGATTTTTATCTGTTGTCAGAACAACTAAATTCTAAGGTTTCACTTTTAAATCATTTAAAAATTATTTAGGACAAGATTTCATCAGGCACCCTGAAATGAGACCTCAAACACCAGAAGAACGACCTCGCATCTTGCCCCCAGATCAGCGGCCTCCTGAGCCACCAGAACCACCACCTGTCACTGAAGAAGACCTTGATTATCGGACAGAAAACCAACATTTGTCTTCAGTTAATAGCTCTTCAGGGATGGATCCTCATGCTGGAGTGAAAGCAGCTCTTTTACAACTGCTTGCTCAGGCTCAAACAACTGAGAAACCAGCAACCTCTAGTGTGGATTTCCAGTCAAGAGATTCCTTTGTTGCAGGTCCAGACTACAAAGATAGCTTTGGATCTTCTGCATTTTCTTCTGCTCACTACAGCAGTAGTGATGGAATAGGAGGTGGATCTTCTGGGATATTAGAAAGGGGAAACTTCGTTGGAAATGCAGATGTTCAATCCTTAGAAAACTACAATACCGCTTCATCTCACACTAGTGTTGCCCCTCCACCTCCTGCCTTTTCAGAACCATTTCACAGCTCAGTAACTGGCTATGGAGACATTTACCTCAACACTGGTCCCATGCTATTTAGTGGTGATAAGGACCATAGATTTGAATATAGTCATGGTCCCATCACTGTTTTGGGTAACAGTGGTGACACATCCACAGGGGCTGGATCTGAAAGTACTCATTCATTGTCTTCAAAGATACAGAACTATAACTATGGAAGTAATTTACAAGAACCTTCTGTCAGTGTTGGGCATATGCACGGACAAACTTGGACTTCTCCTGTACAAGGACCTGGATATTCACAGGGATACAGAGGGCACATTAACACATCAGTGGTCAGAGGACGAGGTAGAGGATTACCATACTGAGCATCTGTTTTGTTTATTTTTCCCCTCAGGCACATCATTTTTACCTGGAAAGACTTTGTAGCTGTGATTTCAAAGCAGTTGTCCAACAGACTTGAATAATGTTAATTCAACAGCTTTATTTTTATGTGGAAAAGGGTCTTGCATACAATAGGAAAATGCTTACAACTCATGCTATTTGGAGAACTAGATAATTGATTGTACATCTTTGCAAATTCTAGCTATAAATTTTATATTTTGGCAGTTTTAAGTCAATGCTAAATTTAGGGACATCAGCTTTTTATGGCACACAGTCAAGATCTATGCACACACTTGTGCTTTTTTTTGTAAGTCTGGACCAACTTTTATGTAAACATTTTACAACAATCAAAGCAGGGCACTGATTTATTTGGTATTTCTTTTTACAAAACCCCTTTAGTCAAAAATTCACTGTCCTTGCACTGCTTTCAGTGTTATCTGTGGGAGGTATTCTTTGTGTTCATTTCAGACAATAAAACAGAGTCTTCAATACTACACTTTTATACATACTTGGGCATTGGGTTTGATTTCCTTTCGAAGTTAAATGTCTAGTAAAATATCCTGTCCATCTTCCCAGTGTTTGTATAAAAACTGTTTTACTTGAATGGAAAGTGCCTTAACGATGTACGATTAAGGTCTGAAGAACATTTCATTAAATTCAAAAGGCTGTTTGAAGGTACTTCGTAGTTTGATACAAGAATTTAATATTTACACTACATGGCTGGTGACTTACAGACAAATGGGACAGGTGGTACTTTCTCATTTTTATGTGCCATTAGGCAAGTGAAATTAAGAAACGCTTATGTGTTTTTCACCAAATTACAACTTACCCCCCTGTTGAATTAAGTGAACTACATAAGAATGTATGCAAGATAATGAAGGGTGGGCTTCCTTCAATTTTCTGTATGAACTCTGAATTCCAATTCCTTTACCAAATAAAAGTTAGTGTCCTGTTTTATTCAAGTCTTTTTATTAAAAAAAAGGAGTAGCATTTTCGTTTTATCAATTTACAGTAAATAGTTTTGTTGGAAAACTGATGCTTCCCTCACTGAACTACTGCAGAATTTGCATTAATAGCATTTATGCATAGAAGATTAATAGGGAGATTAAAATTTCCAGAAACTGGAACTGTGCCAATCAGTTCTGTACAAATTGTTCCATTAACTTGCTATTTGATTTAAACTTGCTTGGATAATTCCGTACATGTTCAATCTAAAAGCAAAAGTGCACAAAATTCCACAAATATTCCCAAAGATTATCATTCTGGGTCCAGACACTATGCTTTCCAACAGTACAGGTTTATTCTGTGAGAGTGAGACTAAGCTAACGTACTGAAATGTTTTAGTGACCATATTGGAGAAAGTTCCCAACTGATTATCCAGTTGACAAGTATAGTGCTATGTAGCTATTTTATAAATATGTAATGTTTCTATTAACTAAATTACAAATGTAGTCTTGTCAGCTGTGACTTTAATCTTTTAGAAGCAAACTTGTCACTGCTTCACACTTGACTCTTAATCTGATTTTTTCATTTGTACCCATTCATTTCTGTTGGAATTCCCCTGTAAATATAAGACTGGTCATCCTTAATCATTTAGAAAATCTTGACTGAAAATAAAAGCAGCTAAACTGGAGGAAAATATTTTGCAATCTTAAAAACTTGTCTTGATATTTCAGATTGAAGATGCTGGGTTGGAATAGATAATCTTGAATATGCAATTGCTCATTCACAAGTCAACAGTAATAACTTTTTCTTAATTCTATGTTTCAAAATTCAATGTTTGTCCTTGAGTGCTTCTACATGAGATCTCAGAATTCATTTTCTGGTTATAATTCCTTGTAATACATTGGAGGCCACCCAAGTTTCTTAATTTGAGATAAATTTCCTTTAGGCAGTAAGTGTTGTCGTAGAACAGTAATGTTTTGGGTGCTCCAGACTAAAAAAGAGCTTAGGTTTTAGGGTTTTTACTGTATGTATGTAATCACACAACACAGTAGAACTTTGAAATTTATAGCACTATTATTGTATGCCGAAGTATTCTTGTCCAACAGGCAGACTGACTAGTTAAGCACGGAGGAAGGTTGATACATACAAACAGTAGGCATAAGAACATAAGAAGAGCCCTGCTGGATCAGGCCAAGGGCCCATCTCGTCCAGCTTCCTGTATCTCACAGTGGCCCCACCAGATGCCCCTGTGAGCACATGAGACAACTAGATATCTAGACCAGTGGTTCTCAAACTTGGGTGGTCCCCAAATGTTTTTGGACTGCAACTCCCAGAAATCCTGGCCAGCATAACAAGTGGTGAAGGTGTCTGGGAATTGCAGTCCAAGAACATCTGGGAACACGAATTTGAGAACCACTTGTCTAGACCACCCCACTAATGGAATGGGATCCCTGTTCAAATAGATAAATACATTTTCATCCCCTCTTTCCTCCTATTTGCCCTCTTCTTTCTGCAGTTAGGTTTTAGTCTCACCTGGCACCAGCAAAACCCACTGCAGCATGAAGTGGTGACTTTTCAAGACTGGGTTTTTTAGTCTCACCTGGCACCAGCAAAACCCACTGCAGCATGAAGTGGTGACTTTTCAAGACTGGGTTTTTTTAGTCTTGCCTGGCACCAGCAAAACCCACTGCAGCATGAAGTGGTGACTTTTCAAGACTGGGTTGAAGAGTGGGGAGTGTTAACCCATCCCAACAGTTTTCTCACATTATGACTGTTCCTAATAAAATTTCTATTGGCACTGATGAAGTGTTTTCTAAAGCCTAAAATAAGGGCAGTTGGAGATGGTGATAAGAGTAACCAATCTTTTTTCACTCTGATCTAAAACTACATGCCTTTAAGGGTGTTATCCAGAACTTAACTCTCTTTCCAAGCTAATACTGAAATCCCATCTTGAAAAGATCATAACATAGAGATGGACACATGATGCCTCCTGATATGCTTTTCCCAAGAGATGTTTTACACAGGGAATTTTAGGGGGGAAGCTGCCTGGCTATGTTCAGGCCTGTATTGTTGGGTCTATGTGGTGTTAATTCTCCATACCTTATATTACCTTATATTAAAAGTTAAAAGTGCTTGGTAACCACTTTCATTATTTCTAAATACCCTGCTACAATATTTTTGGATGCACAGAAATGTCACATCTGCTCTCTGTGTGTGTTAGTTTCCCAAAGAGATTTGGGAGATACACCTTTAGAAGCAATGGATAGATGTCTAGGACAAATACTAAGATCTTCTCATAAAAAGACATTGTATACTGACAAACTCACTTGTTCAGCTGTCCATTTCAGTGGCCCTTCAACATCTTAAAAATCTTAAAGGTAAGTGAAGCAGAAAATACACTGCAGAATGTATAGGAAATTATGTCCATTCAAGGTAAGTGTTCAAGGGTTCGATAAACAGATGGATGTGGGCAGTCCTAATTACAGCACCTCACCGGAATGTTTTTTATTTTTTGAGGGCATACTAGAATTAATTCTAAAATCCTTAGCTTTATGCATACAGATTCAGTCATGATATGTAAATAACTCAATCATTTCACAATTGTTTTCTAATGGTTTCGAAAATGCTAATAACTTTTGATCTTCGAACAAGTTCAGAACAAGAATTTATCTGGACTTCATTCACTCTCATATGCTATATGAGAAAGAAAATTAGCCTTGCTGTGTAATAAGACCCTTCCCCCACTGGGCTAAGATTTTGTCTGCTCAAAACCTCTTATTGCATGTATCAGATAATGCACTAAGTGTTGTGTAATAAGACCCTTCCCCCACTGGGCTCAGATTTTGTCTGCTCAAAACCTCTTAATGCATAATAGTATTGTCTTGCATGTCTTGCATGAACTACCAATTGTAGTGCTACTATGTTGTCTTTTTATGCTTGCTTTGTGTGCTTAGAGGGAAAGCACCAGATCTGTTGAGACATTTTGTGCACCATATGGGATGCATGACATAAAAAACTGGTGTAGGACATGACCGAAGCTTGCAGGGGTTAAAAAAAATAGAAATTACAAATTTTTCTTGACCAAACTCTGCCAATGAGATTTTTCCACACCCCAACTATATTTTTAGGTTAATACCACCAATTGAACCAAGATCCAATAATAGACAATGTTTTGGATGTTTTGTATAGCCACTCTTCAAACAATGCCTGAAGGTGAAAGAATTCCCCTGGAACTTTATTTTGCTGTTATACCCAGAATTCCTGCTTTCCTTGTTTCATGGGTTTGGATTTACTGGAAATATGTTTTATTTCTGCCTTCTACTACAAAATCTCCCCAAGATGGTTCACAAAGATAGAATGTCTAAACAATAGGGGAAAAACATGGTTGAAATCCTGTTGCAGTTATGCAAACAGCATAACTTTTAGAGGTAAACTGCCACAAATTAAGAAATCTCTGTAGAGATTGATTGCTGCACAATCAGTCATGCAACTTCACATGCAACAGATATAATGGAAATTTCTTAACAACAATTTGCCTCTAAAAGTCAGTCCTAATCTTCCTCCAGGAAGTGATGTGTATAAAGTGTTGCATGTAAGGGTCACTCACTTAGCAGTATTTAATAACCAATTGTCAAAATTTTCTGTAAAACACACTGCCAAAAAGGAAACGATGTATACTGTATTCTAGTGGCAGACTGTCTTTAAAGAGTGATCACACTGCATGTGAAACAACACAATGAAATTATATTTAAAGAACAAGGAATCAAACAGAAACTCTTTAATTAGACACAAGCTGCTAAAGCAGGTTTACATTGTTTCTCTTATACTGACATAAAATTTGCAAGAAAATTTTAGCCAGCACATTCCAGCTCTATACAGTAATCTGATTGGGATCTCAACAATATTGGGACTGCCGAAAATCACAGCAGTAAACATTTTTTGTGCTGCTGCAACTTGTATACCAGAATTCATCAATAGTTTCTGCCAAGCACTCTAGTCCTGTCCTTTTACAGATGCAACTGTTTGTGCTGTTCGCAAAACAGATGGAAGCCATCTCATCCTGGCATCTTTCTAGAAGTTCTGTTAAGTCAGGTGTCTTATGCATTTTAATTGGGTGTTTCCCCCTGTATACACACAAATCTAAAAACATTACAAGAAAAAACATGCAACTTGCATGTGTTATGTTTTACTGCAATGAGAAAATTGGCCACCTCATAGAAACCAGCATGTAGTTTCTCTTTACCTAATTTCAGTTTGAGAGCAGCTATTTTAATTGGGAGGTCCAAATGGTAAGAGTGGAATATGACTTGATTTCTCTGCTCTTAAGTGTACAGTGCTCTGCGCCACTGAGTTTTAATACTTTACCCAAAAGACTATAGGTCCTCCAGAAAATATTTAACTCCATATTCTTATGAAGAGCAGTAATCCACCTTTGAAATGCAGGGTGAAAAGAGCTGTTTGTCATGAGTGCTGAAAGTAGTATTCAAATTAAACAAGGCTGTATAAAAACTTTTATATTCTAAAAGTATTTGCAGAAAACATGAATTCATAGCATTACTTAATGACTTAATAAAAAGTAGCTAATTATATACAAATACTACAAAATACTTTATTTCAAAGCTATTGTCTATTTATGTTCAAACAAAATAACAGAAGTTTCTCAAGAAGTTTATAATAGCAATGAACACAGGATATGGAATGAATGAGATAAAAATAACAGTCAAAACCAATTTGTTGGTGACTTATGAATATTTTGTTCTTCATAGTTTAATGACCCCTTCCATAAAAACACAAGCATTAGGGTATCACACGATTCCTTTCTTCCCACATAAAATGCATGATGCAATAAAAATGGGTGGATAAAATGTGGGAAATCCAAATAAAAGCACACCCAAGTCCTTCATTGCTTAAATAGGAAGTCTTTGTATGTTTTTCACATATGTGTTATTTCATTTGTAGAAAAATTAACTGAAATACCTCCCCTTTTTACCGGTGTATGTTGTTTGTTCATT